TTTTTTTGCTATTTTGGGCGTTTTGATTCGAGTTTCTGCTCGAAATTCGAAACAGATCGAGACATTCCGAGACATTCCGGGGCCCTGGATTTTCGGCGTTTTGATTCGAGTTTCCGCTCGACAGTTCGAAGCAGATTGAGATCCACTCTGAGACGCCCCGGGTCCTCGAATTTTTCCATTTTATAGGATATAGATATAAGCTCCCCGGTCAGAGTTTGCTTGGGCGTTTTTCTTCCGGGGGCATTCTCCGCTCTTCGCGGCGCGACCGCGCGATCGCTGCAGGCATTTTGGTGGATTAGCCTGCAGAACGGGAGTTGGCGCCATGGCGAGCCAGGATGGGCAGCCGGACCGTATCCTGCATGGCTGCGCACAGCCCACCTTGGCGCAGGATTTGCCGGAGCCGGCGGCTGGTCCGCCCGCCGGTGGTGCTTTGGAGGCGGCGGCTGGTCCGCCCGCCCGCCGGTGGTGCTTTGGAGGCGGCGGCTGCGCCGCCCGAGACAGGCGAGCACACGCGCTGCGTCTGTTGCGGGCTCCTGGTGGCAGCGCCGCAGGCCGGTGCGTGTCAGAGCTGTCGCACGGTCGACAAACAGCGCCAGCGCCGCGGCCTCTCGTGGCCGGCGGGTTTGTCCTCGGAGGAGAAGCTTGCCTTCTATACCAGCAAGTCACCGAACAACGGCAGCAGAACCCCGACAGCCGCTTGAAGTGGGAGACGGTGGAGGCCGCGTACAAGGAGACCCTGCAGCGGCCCTTCCTGCCCATGGAGGTGTGGCTGCGCCGTGGCTTCACAGAAGAAACATCCCCAACTTGGACCCACCTACCAGCTCGAGATACACGACCAAGGTCCTGCCGCATCTCCGGCGTTACGTGCGGAGGCCGGCGGTCCTGCCGCCAAGTGTCTTCCTCGCGCCAAGCCTCCTCCCAGCGGTCCGGCCGCCAAGCGCCCTCCCAACCCCGCCAGCCACCCCAGTTGCCGGCGTCGTTCCAGGCGTTGTCCTGCCAGACGCCCCAGCGGCCCTGCCGCTGCCAACCTGCTTCCTGCGCTGTGTCCCACCAGCGGCCCTGCCGCTGCCAAGCTGGCTCGCGCTCGGCCTCCTCCGCCCAGCGGCCCTGCCGCTGCCAAGCCGGCTTGTGCTCGGCCTCCTCCGCCCAGCGGCCCTGCCGCTGCCAGCTGGCCTCGTCCGCCCAGCGGTCCTGCCGCTCCCAAGCCATGCGCGAGGCGTCTCGAATTGCTCTGAACCAACACTTCTGCGCGTGCGCGCGGGTGGTGACTTTTTGTGATTTTGTATATATATGTTTTGCTAATTTTTGTCTTAAAAGATCGCGCTTTCTCTGGAAATAAATTCAAAAATAACTTCCAGTTACTTCCGGATAACTTCACGAAACAAATTGAAAATCAATACTCTGAAAAACACCAGTGAGTTATTACACTATTACTTTAAAAAAAAGAATTCCATAACTTAGTTATCCGGAACTTCAGGAAGATATAGTGCTCTATAGTCACGCTAACTTCAATAACTTCCGGGTCTCACCTTGTATATATATAGTTCGAAAAGATGTGGGTGCCTCCCACAGAAAAACCAAATAAAGAGGCCCATGCACCCAACAAACTTGAGTGGATTTTTCAAGGCACTCAAAAAAGACAAGGTTTGCTGTCCAGTCTAAGATCAGCGCGGTCCGAGTGGCCCGGGGCGGTGCGTCCAACTTTGTGTCGGAGACGACCGGCTTAGGTGTAACACATGGCGTTTCGATTGAGATCTCGGGAGGGTTTGTATGCAAATTTATGCAACATCTCTGCTTTGTCACAAATGCGTCTTGAAAGAATCCACAATGCACACCACAAAAATGAAAAACTATAGTTTCGATTAAAGTGGGAATTCCAATATGAGATCATCGGAAAACCGACGAGAAGATCAAAACGTAAGAGTGACCGACAGGTTAACAATGAAACGGGCCTGAGAACACATCACAGAGTCAGATCGGAGACACAGGAGCAAACACCAATGTGGGCATCCAAGAAAAAAGGGTTCAGCCGCGAAAGAAGTCCTTCAAATGCTGATTCGGGGAAGGACACTTCAAGCCGGACAAACGCAACAAAAGAACTAACGACAAACACAAGTCCTCCAAGCCGCAATCGCAACGCACGTGTCTAGTCACGCGAGTCGAAACCTCGAACGAAACTGTCCCCAGCCCCCTCGCGATTCTCCCGATTCCTGCGAGTGGATTAGCCCGCAAACCCAGCATGGTTTTCGGGGGAACGGTTGCTATTGTGGCAGCTCTGCATTGAGTCATGCTCTGCTAGGTGGCGGCAACCGCTTTCTTCGAGTCCTAGCGCAGTGGATAGCGTTGAGTCACGCCAAGGACCACGAAAATTTTCTTGTTGAGTTTCCAGGCCACCTTATTGGGAACCGTGGATGGGGACTGGCCAGGCCGTTTCATGAAGACGGTCGGAAACTAAGGCTTGCGAATCTCGCCACGCATGAGAACCAGCAAGCATTTGTTGCAAGCTGCTTGGGAGAGATTCGATTGATTGACATTTTACATCATTTTACAGCTGCCAAATCTGGTTGCAATCCTCTCTTGAAGCTTTGGATGCAGCAGTCACCATTTTTGAGGCCTTTCCAAATCAAGAGCAGACCCGCGTGCATCGCGGCAAGAAGACGCAGCAGCAACAACTTCTGTGTTTGTGTCAATGTATGCGCGGGAGATCTTCCGAGAGCTCTTGCAAATCGCTCCACAACAGGAGGATGTTGGAGACCTAGCTGCAAGCTACTCAAAGTGCGCAAGATCACTGAGGGTTCCAAAAACTGTGTCACGAAAGGGGGCATCACGAAAAGGGGCACCGCTAGCCAATTAATTGAGCCCAACCCAAGTTTTTCCCAAAAGCATCTCCGATGCTTGGGTTCTCGTTTAGTCGCTAGTGCCGCGGGACAGCGAGGAAAAGCTTACGTTGTCGGGGACGGAAGATGGAGGTGGAGGTGGACGGGGTTGGGAAGGAAAGAGGGAGGGATGGATGTGGAGGTGGACGGGGTTGAGGGGAAGGAAGGAAGGGAGGGGAGCGAGACGGGAGGCGCATGGATGGGGACGGGGCTGGGAGGGAAGATGGAGGGAGACGGGAGGCGCATGGATGGGCTGGGGAGGGAAGATGGAGGGAGCGAGACGGGAGGCGGATGGATGGGGACGGCTGGGGAGGGAAGATGGAGGGGAGCGAGACGGGAGGCGCATCGGGAGGCGCATGGATGGGACGGGGCTGCGGAGGGAAGATGGAGGGAGCGAGATGGGAGGCGCATGGATGGGGACGGGGCTGGGGAGGGGAGCGAGACGGGAGGCGCATGGGTGGGGACGGGGCTGGGAGGGAAGATGGAGGGGAGCGAGACGGGAGGCGCATGTGGGGAGGAAAGATCGGCGTAAATCAAGTGAACCATAAACCACCAAACACGAGAGCCAAGAGACCACTTGGCAGGAACAGGCAAAGAACGCTCCACGGCGACAACAATGATGTCAACGACCATGCACCAGAATCCAAGAAATCCTGCAAGAACAAGACTCAGAGCCAAACGACTGTTGCAGCCACAACAGAAGATAAAAACAGTTTCATACAGATTCCATGACTACTTTCTTACCACCGGCGCCAGCCTCTTCCACAACAGCAGACCACCAGCCTCAAGAACCAAAACAGCCGCGGGCACTGCCACCGCAATAAAATCAACAGTGAGCGAGGAATGTGGGGCGAGGTATGCCACACGTGAAAAACCCACCAAGTTTCCGTTGCTCGGACTGACAGGAGGTTAAGCGCGAATGGTCTTTAGACAGGCTGCCATGTGCACAAAAACGCACCTCTCACGTTTAAGCTTGTCAGCATTCAGTTGCTGCCAGAAAACGAAAGCACTGTTTCGGCATTTTGCAAGCCAGCCAAGGAAATGCGGGAGGTGATGTGGAGAACAAAGTAATTGAGACTTCTGAATTTACGGAGGAGGCCTCCAACTGCCAAGCCGCTGATGCCTCAGCAGGATTTTGGTCAGGGCGCTTCGAAACTTGAGGCGTTGGAAGATGAAGAAGGCGCAGACGTATACCCTTTTGGCGAGGCTTGTTGGGTGATGTTTGCTCTTCAAGCATTCACCCAATTGGTTTCAGCAATTTGAACTTTGTGTTTTATCGTGTTCCTAAGAATGCCGTGCTCCTTGTATTTGCATTCTAGTGTTCAGCACACTTGAGAGAACAGCAAGCAGTTGCAGGAAACAGCGTCTGAACGGTTTCCAGTGAACTTGGACCAGAAGATCCTTCAAGACCTGTGCCGAAAGGTGCGTTCAAATTCCGAGAGTTTCGAGAAGATTTTGGAATTGACGCCTTGCTGGCTGTTTGTATTTTACATTCGTCTAACTTACTTTACGTTATTTTACATGATTTCATTGTTTCCAGGGTTCAGCATGGTTCAGCACATGCGATTTGATGATTGGATCATATTGGATTTGTCAATGTAGCTTCAGCTTGTCAAGGATTGGTCGCACCGAAGAATCAAGAGCCTGGAAAGATTTGGGTCTCAGCTCTTTTTTTGGAACTTGGGTGGCGTAGCTTGTTTGTGCAAATATGGTTAGTTTGGACATGTTTGGCGGGGAGCAACGTCGCAAAATACATTCTTTCCGTGTTGCGACAGGGTTGGGGTTCACATTTTGCATGCGGCTTTGCAAGCCAATGAGAACCATGATCACTTTGTGCCAGTGCCAGGGCAGGAGCTGTCGAAGTTTAGAGATACTGTAGGACGAGATCCAAGGCAAAACAGCGGACCCATCGCAGCTGCTGCAGGGCTTACCACTTCAACTCTGCATATGGAGGAATCGGCCACAGCATTTTGGCGGCAAAGGTCTTCATGCAAATCAGAAGTTCTAAACTCAATATGTCGACCTTTTGTTTCCACTCATTGCTTGGAAGCTGATTTGTACAAATATCTTTAATTACAATTTAATAATACTATAATACATAACTTATTCAATTGTACCAAGATAATGTGTGTATATGCTTACAGTATAATACAGAGGCCGAAACCATGAACCAGTTCGTTTGTCAACCCCTTGATTCTGGACTGGAGGCCTTCTGCCGTTCCGTGGCCTCAGGTGTTTCCCATGCTGAGACCTCAGACTTCTCTTTACATATTGATTAGTTGCCTCAAAGGCACGCGCAGGCCATGCATTTTGGTAGAGTTTGCTTTGCTGAGTGTGAAGGAATCTATTGGTCATGCTGCTTGGAAAAGATTGACCCTTCAGAGTACGAGGGAACAGTTTGCGCAATGTTTGCACCTTGTTTGCACGCGAAAGTCAGTCACCAACTGCTGTCATGCCTTCCTTGCGGCATATCTACGAAACTGGGTTCACCATGTTTCGCCCTGCTGTGAGCCAAGGACTGATAAAGAGATTGAACGCATCACAGATGCTGCGTTGGAATATGCGATCCGTCCTGCTGACCGAAAACGAGACGACAAAAGACTGTGGGAACCCTCTGATGGAGAGGACGCACTTCAGCTCCACCGCGCAGCCGCGTCTGCAGGATATTTTCGGCCTCCCCCACAGGAAACAGCCACTGGGCAGGATAGAACTGATCTCATTGACGAGGCGGTGGAAGCAGTAACACAGGCGCCAGTGCTGTTGGATCTGGCAGAAGCTTTGCGAGAATGGGATGTGATATATGGGGCTTTGGGCATGGGTCTGCCAGAGTTTTTGAGGTCTCGGGAGTGTACCTTGGCTTTGCGGAAGAAGTTGAAGGATGGATGCTTGATGGAGCTCAACCATGGGACGTTTGTTCGCTTGCCCATGCCAGAGGAATGTGAAACTGGTAACATGGCAGCTGCCATGAAGGCAGGTGATGGGCGCGCCCTTACTGCGATTGTGGTTGCTCGTTTGGTCCGGGAACAGGCTAGAGCGCCAGTTGGACTAATGACGGAGACGATCGCAGATGGTTACCTCTTCATCGCAAACCCGGAGGATTTTGTACTGCAGGCAGTTGCAGCTTTGCCGCGACAGGTTGTCAAAGTGGCCAAGCTGGCACTTGACATCATTGCATCAGGGTATTTACGCTTGGAACGTTCGCGCGTGACACTGGTAGGTGCAGCCTTTAGCCCAGAGAACTCACGGTGCCTTGACGCGCAGATCGCTTTGAAGAGCTTGGGGCATCATTTTGGAATCGATGAATGGAAAGAACGCTCTTGGCAATCTGTCAAGACTACTGCCATTGCAGCAACGGGCCCTGCACGACATTTGACAGATTTCGAGGAAGCTATCCCAGAAGATGCCTTCAAGGCCTTCGATAGATAGTCAGTACTCAGCACTCTGTTTGAGAGTGTCCTGTGATTTGTGAACCAACTAGTCATGTATATAGTCAAGGCTTTTGATTGCAACCTCTAGGGACATGTCTTGAAGATAGCATCAAACCTTTTGACTTTTTTGGGCCAGGACGGCGGGAAGAAGGAAGACCAAAAGGAAGTCATTGCAGTTGCTTCCTTTCCAAAAGTGGCCGGGGACTTGAAAACCAACGAGGACCGCTGTCAGATGCTGTCAGTGTGGTGCAGCTCGGGAAAGCACCCTTGCTTGGTGTTCTCCGCAAGGAGCTTTGCTGGCGAATTGCCGCAATGAAGCGCCTTGACTGCAACAGTCTTGTCGAAGAGCGGCATGGGCATCCCACGTGAGGAAAGTGGACTACAATGATGTGGACTTAGCCAAGCGTGTTTGGGTGAAGGAGCCCGAAGATGAGGGCATTCGCGCATTGCAATCCACGGTGCAGGGTGCTGTGAAGCGATTGTCAGAGGATTTGTACAGTGGCGAGGCGCCAGCTGTATGCTTGTGCAAAACGTTGTGAAGGTGCTGAAATGTATTTGCGCAGCCTTTTCCATGCCAAGTTTGAGGATAGGATTCCGAATTAGTGCTTTGTGTTGCTGTACAGGCTCACTTCTTGTTGGAGTTGCTGCAGAACGTTGATGACTGTCAGTATCCTGAAGGTTCGTCATGGAGCTTAAGCTTAATCCATCTTAATCCACTTGTTGCTGAGACTGAAGCTACTACGAGGTGAGAAGCCGACTCTGCAGCTGACCTACGAAAGCAGGCAGGGGATGGTGTCGCTCTGTTCTTTTAACTTTCAATTGCTTGATTTTGCTGGCACAGTCTCGTCGGGTCATACGACGATTTCTCAGGAAAGATCACTTTGCCGACTTCACCAGCTTCAAAACTTCATCCAGGGTGAATGGGCTGCTGGTGGTGGAACACAATGAAGCTGGCTTCCAGGAGAGGTGTGCCAAAATCTTAAAATTATCCATGTGCGAAAGGCCAGGTTACCTAAAGCATCCTAAAGTATATAAGTACATAGTTCATACTTTAACCCCCCACAATCACCAGGTTGCATTTCACAGCGCAAATCACCACTCCGCACGTCACCCTTCGGAAATCCCCATAGCAAATCCGTAGGCAAGGATCCGCAGGCAAGGTTGGATTAACATCCTTCAGTGCAAGGTGTTGGGCTAGTGTCAGTACTTCCAGTGTTCAAGCAACAACGCAGGAGAACAACGTGGTGGCGATTTGTGACATTGACAAATCTACCAAAAAAGCGCGCGAGAAACGCTTCATTGGTGCAAAAGGCATTGGCTTCAAATCAGTAGCTTAGCAGCATTTCAAAGCGTCTCCGTCAGTCAAAGCACCCCAAATCGCTTAAAAAACTGAACACTGGTAGGAGCACCCGCCTTTGAGGTATTCTTGGTGACTGCTACTCCGGTGATCCATTCTGGTCGATTTCATTTTCACTTTGATGCCGATGCCCTGTTTCTGGGCTTCTATATCCAAGTCAGTTGTTCGTGCCACCACAAAGCCCGCTTTCATGGAGACACAAAGACATGTCGGACCAGGAACGGCTTGGGATCTTTGTTGCCTTTTCCTTTGACTCCAGTGACTCCAGTATCGAGACAAACTGGCACTCAATTGGTCCTCCCATTGAGCAGTTCCGAAGGAGAGGGATTCATGTTTGCGGACAAAAGCTATATGCTTCATTAAGCTTCACAACGCATCTCAGTGTTTGATTCTTGAATCAGATTTGAACAGAAAGCGATCAGCTGCCTTTCGATTTGCCACTCTTTGCTTGGGGCTTGGGGCTTGGCCTCCGAAAGCCAGGACCGCTAAAGAAGCGGGGTCTACGAGCTAGTGATGTTGCTACCAGAGCTTTGCAAGATATGCGGCCAACTCTTCTCCTTTTCCTTCAAAAACTGGAATGTGTGCAGGTAGACATGATTCTCTTGTATATTCGGCAAAGCGTGTCTTCGACGTAGTTGGCGGGTTCTGTTTTGCACGAACTGCTTGCCAAGCAGGCTATTGACAGAAACAGCGGGAGAACCCGAACCATGACAAAAGAGGTGCTTGAAGCCGAAGTTGGTGGAGCCCCTTGCCAGGAGAAGACTTAGCAATTCTCGGCATGTCTCAGATTTGTTGATTGTTGGAAAGCGTTCGTCAAAACAATGGACAACAAAGGGCAGACAAAGAGTACTTACTTGTCAAGTTTGTAGGAGATCAAGCTGAAATCGGAGGAGCTTTCCGATGCAGCGTGGTTGAATTAAGCCATATTATAAAGCCATTCCTTGTGGGAGGAGTCAGGAAAACATGAGTCAGAAAACCCCAGTGTTCGAGGTAGGAAACCATTTTGTCGGAGTCAGGAAAGCCTGGAAACCAGTTCGCAATAAAACAACAATAAGAATATAATGTAAAGAAATAAGGACGAGGAGGAGCAGGAGATCACTTTTCGTGGTAGGCAAAAGGAAACCCTCGTATTTGGTGGTCAGAGAAGCCGCGCTGGGGCATCAACGATGCAAAACAAAGTCAGGGGGAGAACAAAAAGAAGGAGAAGACAGAGCAGGATGCATCTGTACATTTATATACATATCATATATCATATATATACACATATAATTACACAATAAGTAAGTGTGGTAGGCTCACAGAAATCTAAGTTTTTTTGTAATGACTTCGGGGGTTGACGTGCAGACATCTCTGACGGGTTGAGGGGGTTGAGAGGATGTTTCGACCTAGATCAAGGTGACAAGAGGGACCACCTCACAAGTCCCATGATTTGATCCCCTCATCTAGGAAGATTCCTGGAAAAGGTTGAGTCAGTTCTGTGTGATCACGATCCTGGAAGAGACAATGTTCTGTTGGGATTGGTCCATTGGTTTAAGTCTTCTGTTCTTTCGGATTTGTTTAGTGTTTCTTTGTGCTTCGTTTAGGGTAGGTTTCTTCTTGCTCTCTTGGGGCTCAGTTTAGGTCCAGGTCTTCACTTCTTTAGGGCCTCCGGGGACTCCATTCAGGGATTCATTTCTGTATTTTTTGGGGGCGGCTTGGACTTTGTTTTGGGCTTGACATCTTGAGGGCTTTTTTGGGCTTGGCCGCACTTAGGTCTTCACTTTTTTGGGGCATCTTTGGGCTCGGCTTAGGGGTTTACTTCAGGGTGCCCTTGGGCGTGGTGTCTGGCTTCCCTCGTGTTTTAAGTTTCTTGAAGTTTGCTCTCCCCTTCCCCCTTGACTGACTCATACTTTCAAAGTTTCAATCTTTCCGCAGTCCCTCCTTGTTGCTTGCTTCCAGTCTGAGCTAAGTTTCCTGGCTCGTTTCCACGGAGGTTTCCTGACTCACTTCCCTTCTCCATCCCATAGAGGCCTGACTCCTCCTTCTCCTCCCTTCAAGCTTTCAAAGTTTTCACACCCGCTGAGGTTTCCTGACTCGCAGTGGAGGAGTATACTTCCAAGTTATATAGACACCTTCCAACGCTTTTGGACTCCAGATGGGTTTCCTGACTCTGTTGTTCATGTTTCATGACTCGGTTTCCTGACTGTCATCACGTCGTCCCATTCCTTGCGCAGCAGTTTGTGGACAGAGCTGTATACTGAAACCCATGAGCTGATAGAGTGCTCTATGTGGCGACGTTGCGGCCAAAATTGACCAGAGCCCGCAATGATTCTTTCATTGATCTTACTTTGGGTTGAACGCCCTCCTTTTGCTGTTGTTCAAGTATGTTCAGTTCTTTCAGGCCCTTGTGCCGTGTCCGTTGAAGGTGCAAGAAGTGATAGAAGAGCGTTGGTTGGTCTACACTAAGCCAGTGCAGCTTGAAGGCGAAGCAATCACAGAGCTGTGCCTTGGGCATAGCCGGCGTAGCCAATAGATTTTAAGCGCATGTTCTTCGAAGACGGTTCCATCTACTGCCATCTACTTGCACCCCCGATTTCGCAAACATGGTCCGCTATGATGGCGCACCAACAAGGGTGCTATCCCCATGCTTGGACACACCCATATGGGCATGGTTCAGAAACGTTTTCTCAGGCAAATCCAGTGTGTGCTCACGTTGTTGCTCAGGAAGCTGGCCTTCCGACTAGACAAGCCTGCAGGCCTTGTGATTTGAACGAGATTCCAAAGCTATTTCAACCCAAATTATTCCAAGGAGACTTCTACCTCAACTGAGTAATTACTTGAATTGAGGTCGGTGCCTCGGCCGTCATTATTCCTTTTCCGTCAATCAGGTGTGGAGCAAGCCTACGCCTGGTTGCCGCTGCGATCCTATGGGTTGCGCTTTCTGATCCAAGCAGACTGGAGGGTCCCGTCCTCCCGGGAGGCCATTACAGAGGCAGTTTTCAACCAGCGACTCGACTGGACCCACAGTCTATGTGAACAAGCGCCGCTTCTAAAGATGCATTGGTGAAACAGATAAAGACGCAGTGGTAATTACTTGCGAATGGGTTCAAGTCAAGAGGGCAACCTTAATTACCGCAAAGTCCGAAAGTCGTCAGCTAAGGAAAATCCGGGATCAGGTGCCAAACGCCTATGGAGAAGCGGCCAAGATCTTTGCCGCAGCTGCCCTGAAGGCCGCTGGATTGGAAGATGCCAACGCAGCAGGCTCTGGCCTCAACTCAGCCAATGCAGTTGGAATGTTGGAGCGTTGAAAGTCCAAGGTTGATAATTAGAGGCGGATAGAAGCCCCATCACCAGGTTTCGGAGATGTTGATTACTGTATATAGTTGGAAGTACAGTTGGAATTAATTGGTTAGTTAGTTATCTAAGTTTTATAGTTGAACTTTGGTGTTTTTGGACTGGATGTGACCAATTGGACCTGATGCCAAACTTGGAAGGAACTGCTTGGAGCCAACTTGAAGATTGCATTGAAGCTGCTCGTGACGCACTGGTTCCTCTCTATACCTCGATACCGCGACAAGGCCACTTGGGGCATGTTCTGAATCGTTGGACAACAATCCACCAATGCCTGATGCTTGCTGCACTGTGATACACTGGTACATTGGTGCATCAATCGCAGCAATCTTCGCTGGGGTGGTGGGTGGAAGTTGCCTGTGCAACTATAAAGGACATGTCGATTTGACTGGTGATGTGATGATGGCGCATGAGACTACATGTAACGTGTCGCAACAGTGCGTTTTGTTTATGTGATGCACCTCGGAGATCTCCTTTTCCCATTTGTACAGTTTTGGTGGCAGACCTAGAGGCATACATCCTTTGCTGTTTCAGCATCCTGTTCTGCATTGTAACTGTGTCGTCCTGCAACACGAAATCCCACCTGACAGACTACGAAGGCCTCTGGAAAGTACGTTTGCATTCCTCTTCTGACTGCTGCCACAAAACCAGCCCGACGCATGACAAGCACTCAGAGCGCCCGACCCCCCCAGAACAGCAGATGCGCCCACGACAATACGTTTTGAAAGCCAATATAGCTGTATTTCCTGTACTCGGATTGGATTTTTCGCGTGGTCACTGGTGTGCATCTCACCTTTGCAACAAACTCGACAACTACTGTAGTATACATGTACATCCACTCTCTCGGTGAACTTTAGCGGCGTTCCTACGGTGTTCTGGGAGGCGATGCTACAGACTTTTTCCAAGAGACGGATGGAAAGATCCTCCGGGCGGTGATGGATGTTGCTGTTGTTCTGGTACGAGTTCCATGTCCAGGACAGCAAACTGCTTAAGACACAGCATACCTCAGGTATTGCCGGATTTCCGCATTTCGATGAATTCATACAAATGACAAACTGAACGGGATGTTCCGCAATGAATTTTCATGCAACAATCAAACCATTCAGTTCAAGCAGGTGCCAGATTGTGAGCAGATGCGTGGCCACCTGTCACTGTGTCATTCTCGGCCTTCAGTCCTCAATCTGACAAAGAATCTGGTATAATCTGGGTGATTTTGGGTGTATGCTCAAAGCTTGCACACCACCAAGTCCAAGAACATCCAATATACACTTACTCATACCTTGACTTGCGCAGTTCATGTATTGGAATAATCGTTTCCGATGGCCATTTGCAGGAGCCAAGGAGGGTTCTCATCTTGGGAGCGACCTTGAGGATGAGGATTTGAGCGAGCAGGAAACTCGGATCATTCTGGAACTGTCCAGTGAAAGTTCCAACCTTAGATGATTGCAGCAGCGAGAGAAATTGGGCCATTGGATATGTGATGATATGTGGTCATGGGGGGGTCCCTATTATATCGGACACACCCACTTGAACAATATGTAATGGGCAACTCGATACTGCAGGTAATTCATGGTAATTCACTGTGGTTTGTCGTTGAGGAGACCCAATGGCGATTGGAATTGGTCACCCCAAGACGTGCTGTGCGTGCAGAACTTCCAGAAGGAGTTCCAGTGCCATGGCTTTCCACCTCGATCTTGAAGTCTTTCTGGGATGGGATGGCAATTGGCTGTGGTTACTGCTGATGGCTGTGTTTGCGCAGATTCTTTGACTCAAACCTTCTTGGTGCTGCATTGCTAGACACACGGTTTTCGGGGAAGTCAATTGACAGGAATCCACTTGATTCATGTAGACCATATACATTCACGTTTAGCATTGTTTCCCGTCGGAATCTGCAGTTGGGAAAAATTGGCATAGCGCGACTCGGACATCGATCTTTGCTCCTCCATAGCTCGAGTGACAGAGAAAAATCGGTATAAAACGGTTGCCTTCTTCAATTCTGTTTCTTCACTCTCACGTCAAAGCTCGCTCGGGAAGGGCTACAGGTGCGAAGAGCCAAATCCGGAAGACATTTTTTTGTGAGTCAGAATTCACAGCAAGCCATTGAGGCTAGCTTGTCACATCTCCAGCAACCCATTGACATTTTGCTGGCGCAGGCCTTTGGACACAAAGAGGGACCTCTCGGCCTTTGGGTTGTTTTTGGACACAGAAAGACCCAGAACCAGTAGACCTTGCCCAACGCTGTTTTGCGGCGCATCAAGACCGTCTGAGCAAGAAAGAAAACCGCATAAGCTGCTTTGCAAACACAATAATTACTAATTGCTGTCAACTGTATACCTCCCCCACCGAAGATCTTTCCAAGGGCAAGAGACCCTCAGAGACTCAGGATTCCGAATTCCAAACGTCTATGTCCCATGTTACCTTGTTTTTGGAAGCTGATGTTTGTGCCTGCGAAGGCGCAAGCAGCCTACCCAAGTTAGTGTGAAAGTTCAATGGCATGAGCATTAGCTGCTGTTGACCCTCATTCCCGTTGGTCGTAGGGCCCGAGCCAAGCATCCGCTTTTAGCATAAAAGGTGCGCCATGACCGCGTTTGGTTCCACCACCCCTTTGTAGTGCCCTTCATCCCATTGCACGAGGGGCCACTAGTTGGCACCGGAGCCTGATGTTCGACTTCTCGGCTCTGTCCGAGCTTGGTGACGCTGGTGAGTATCCCCAGGACCACGATGACCCTTCGCCCGCTTCCGCGACCTCGGAACCCTTGTGGCGTTGTTGGAGCTGTGGGAACGACACCTTTGCTTGGACCGGTGAGGGATGGAAATGCGCTAGTTGCCGCAGTGGAGACTACTACAATGCTGTTGTATCCCAGCGTAGAGAGACAGACAATGGCGTTTGGATGTATGTCCCCCGGCAATCCCAATCCCATGGTTCAGGTTCAGATCCGCCTCCGTTGGACCCTCTGCCGGACACGACGTCGCAGGCGTTCGATCATAACCGGACACGTGTTGGCCATGCTTCACCTCATGAGGGACCATTCCATGAGAGCAGAGAGCAGGCTGAATCGGAGGCTCCGACAGATGACCCTGTTGTTGATCCTGAGCATGCAGGTAGCACCACGTCGAGGAGCAGCCGCAGATCCAGGAAAAGAGCCCACAATCGAGCTATGAACATTGCAGCACGACAAGATGTTGGAGTTGGCAATGTTGATACATTGAGCAATGCAGTGCATAGTACATTGTTTGATGGCCAGTCGCAACCACAGCAACAACAGAGCAATGCAGATTTGACAAGGCAGTTGGCACAGTTGGTACGCACATTGCAGCGTGCTGTTGGCCAAGGTGGCAGTGGCAAGGCGTCCAAGAGCTCTGAAGGTTCGTCTTCTTGGAACTCCCAAAAGGGACCAGAAAGAGGAGTTCGATATCGTTCAGGAGCTCCACCACCACCACCACCACCTGCCTGGAAGTATGCCAAAGATGATCTTCGCAGCTTTCCCAAGTGGCAGAGAAAGCTGGAAATCTGGAAACGTCAAATCACCAGTTTCATGAGTCGCAAAGACGCTGCACTTTTGCTTTACTCCAGCCCGACTGGAGAGGCGGAAGAAGAGTTGGAACATTGTGATTTGGACAGGTTGGCATCGTCGGAAGGCACTGAGTACATTGAGCAAACATTGAAATCAGGGCTGGCAACTCGTCTCGTTTATCAGAAGCGGAAGCTGATGAGCGACTACGAAAGCATTGTTCGACAACCGTCGGAGTCGGTCAGGGCTTTTGCAAATCGGTATCGACGAGCTGAACAAGCACTGCAGAGTGTCTCTGTCGACATCCGTGGGATGTACGACGACGAATCTCGAGGCAACAGATTGCTCGAGAGAAGCAGGTTGAGCCCAGAAAACCAAAGATTGGTATTGATCGGTTCTGCCTACAACCTTGCCTATGAGGCCATCGTTGAGAGTTTGTGCATGAGTTTTCCGGAGCACAAGTCACCACCTCAGTTGTTTGGCAAGGACGGTCAACAGAGTTTCACATCCCCATCGACTTCATCCACGACAAGTACTTCATCGAGTTCCTCAAGCTTCAAAGGCAAAGGCAAGGGCAAAGGCTTTGGCAAAGCCAAACACGCCTTTGTCACTGAGGTCGAAGACGACCAGCTGGAAGCCATTGAAGAGGAAGACGGCCTTCATGAGTCCGAAGCTGAACAAGAGGCCGAGCAAGAAGATGATCAATACGATCAGCAGGAACTGGCCGATGAAGAGGCTCCTGAAGAGTCCTTTGCAGACATTGCCGAGGTCCTCACGGTGACAGCAAAGAAGTTGCAGTCGCTTACATTGGGGCGCAAGTTTAGTGGATCCAAGTCGATTGAAGAGCGAAAGAAGACAAGTACATGCGCTGCTTGTGGACAGGTAGGTCACTGGAGTGGTGACAGCCAATGCCCAAAGAGTTCCAAAGGAAAGTCTGATGGCAAAGGCAAATCCAAAGATGGCAGCAAGAGTACGCCGAAAAAGGTGTACATGAGCCTCTACCACCCTGACGGTTCCACAACCAGCCACCACCAGGAGGATGCACCGGTTCCCAACTTCTTCACCTTCGTTACATTGATGGTTCATGAGGTTTGTGTTGCAGGTACATCTTTGTATGGGAAGATGGTCATAGACACCGCTTGCCAGAGGACATGTGCGGGTTTGAACTGGTTGGACGGGTACAAAGCATTGCTTCATCAGCATCAACTTCGTGGCAAGACGGTGCCGTCGGCTGAGGCTTTTCAGTTCGGCAGTGGAGCACCTATGCAGGCAAAGGACCGAGTTTACATGCCGGTCGCTTTTGGAGATCATTTGATGTTGATTGGTGCAAGTGCAATTGCAACAAACATCCCATTGTTGGCATCCAATGTTTTCTTGAAACGATGCAAGCAGTCATTGACATTGCAAGTTCAAGCATTTACTTTGGTGTCATCGATGTTTTGCTTCTGTTGTGCAAGTTGAACGGTCATTTGACAGTTGACATTGCATGTTTTCCACCGGATGTTCATCGAAACCCTGTTTGGCAAGTTTTGTCTGATGAACGTTTTTGGCACGACCCTCATCCGGAGATTGTTTCTGAAGAGCCGGCACTTCGTCAGCTTACGAGGCCCAAGAAAGCATCCACCGTTCTCGCAGTCGCAGATGTTGCGACCAACTCCTCCGAGATGGTTGAAGGCATGGCGTCAGGTCATCCAGACCTTGCTGAGTTTGGAGTGGCTCTCACTCCAATGGATGTCCAAGATGGTCAAGCTGCAAGCAGGCAGGTTCACACGAGCCTGGATAACACTGCAGGAGACCGTGGCACAGCAGGAGGTCGACAAGACCCTAGCCCGGATGAAGCGCGAGCCTCTCAAATGCCAACAGAATGCTCGCACCCCGAATGGAAGAGGCACGGCAACAAGTACGGCAGTTACGCCACCTGCACTCTTTGTCACACCCGAGTCAAGTGGAACCGGACGTGCAGGAATGGGAAGCTTCTGCTGGTTGGTCGGTCTCGCAAAGATCTTCCTTGCCGCAGCCCTCCTTTTCAAGTACATTGCATGCGGCTTCATCCAAGGCCAAGGGCATCAAGGCTATGGCAGCCACTCAGAGCAAGTCCAAGCCGAAATCCAAGGCTAAGCCTCAGGCCATCAAGGAGACACAGCCAGCGCCACTCCCATCTCCTATGGCGACCTCTTCTCGCCATCCTTCGAGGCCACCTTCGAGCAGCTTGGGGGCGTACGCAGTTCAAGCATCTCAAGCGGCTCAAGTCGTGATCTACTCGGACGAGGAGGAGTACATGGACGACAGTCAAGTGAACAGCCAGGACGAGGAGTGGAACTGGGAGGAGCATCAACAGCCCATCCAGACTCAGGGACCCATCCGGTCGGTCAGTCCGGATCCCGCTTGGGCAAAGCACGAAGAGGACAGAGCACAATGGGTCGGAATGGCGGGACCCAACAACCTGTTCTCATGAACACCATCGGCACCGGCATGAGGCCGGGACAACAGAAAGAGCTCCTGGGAAGGATTCGCAAAGCCGCCGAAGCAGAGTGCACCATGTATGAGGCCCTAGCCACAAAACACAAAACCAATCGCTCAAGAAGCGATATACTTGAAGTGTTTGCCGGCCGAGGACGCATCTCACTGCAAGCCACCAGGCATGACCTCATAGCATGCACACCCATGGACTACAGCACAGGTTTTGACCTAGCAACAGAACATCACCAGGCAGCAGTCCGTAGAACCATCCGGCAGCTGCTTCCGTTGTTTTTGATTGCTGAACTCCATTGCGCCCCATGGATCTTGATGCAGGACAACACCAACTACAAGGACAGGCCTGAAGAACTGGCCGAGAGACGTGCTTTGGAGAGGCCTGTTGTTGAAGAAGCCATGCAGTGGTGTCGAATGCAGCGCCAAGCAGGACGCTACTATCTCATAGAGAATCCTCAGACTAGCCGTTTGTGGGCTGAGGAAAGTGTCCAATCCATGCTGCAAGACACCGGAGGACAGACAGTCACCTGCCATTCAGGGGCTTATGGAGCTATGAACTCGAAAGGCAACCCCATCCGTAAGACCTTTCGTTTTGCCTCCAACAACAAGGACATTCTCACCTTCCTCCAGGACAAGCTCACAGCAGAAGAGTTGAAGTTGCGCGTGCCACTTGAGGGAAAAGAAACCACACTCTCGCAGGAGTACCCTCAACGCCTGATCACCTCTATCCTCAAGGGTGTTCGATATGTGGCCAGGCAGCGCAATCCGACACGCTTCAACCTCAAGAAGGTTTACGCCACCTTCACTCAGCCAGTGTTGGACCAGAAGCCATGGCAAGACGTGATCGCCCAAGCCAGAACTCTATTCACCGCGTCCTCATCGAACAACATCATTCTTGAGGCCTCCAGCGGCCTATACAAGAAGATCCAAGAGCTACTGCCATGGGAGATCACCAGGTTGCAGGTTTGCTTGCGACCACTGGTACAACGACTGCCACAGCATGTGCCTCACACTCACCGAGGTCACGTGCTCAAGTTTGTGGGAAGAGAAGACCTTTCCATCATGGCGGAGGACCTAGCCGACATCCATTTCCCAAGGGGTAGATTTGAAGCTCCAGTGGAACTGGCAATCTTCTTCTACGGCTATCCCAGCTTGTCTGATGAGCATCTTGGCATTCCAGGAGAGGAAGCAGCCTTACATGACCAAAGCCACAACAAGCAGAGCACCGCCAGAATCCCACCAAGGAGATCTTCCATGATGAGATCTTCTTCCCAAACACCCCTGGCATCGATCGCACCATCAAAGCGTCAGTTGCCAGGATGCACAAGAACATGGGACATTTACCGCCCAATGAGATGATCAAGCTGTTTTGTTTGAACGGCATCACCAGTGACCAGGTGATTAAATGCACCAAGGCTATGACTTGTTCGGCCTGCGAACGAGCAAAGCCTCCCAAGCCGCCAAATCCAGCTTCATCACATCCCCAGTACTTGGGACAATTTGCAGACAATTTGCAAGCAAACATCTTCTACCTCAGAGATGCCACATCCAGGAACCATCCAGTCCTTGGCATCATATGTGAAGCCACTCATCTTCACACAGCAATCAGGCTGGACTCCAGACAGCCGATCCACCTAGCTCAGGCCTTCCGCAATGCCTGGGTGAGGAACTTTGGATTCCCGTTGAGACTTTCAGTGGACGATGATGGTGCATTCAAGTCCAACTTCATGGACTACTGCGATGAAGGAGGAGTCTTTTTGGACTTCATCCCTCCTGAAGCTCACTTCAAGCTGGGCACCATAGAGCGCCATAACGGCGCACTTCGAATGCTGCTGGAAAAGATCGTTGACTCAACTCCATGCAGCACACCAGAGGACCTGGACAATGCAATCGTCTCGGCCCTATACTCCAAGAACTCAGCAACTTGGACTTCAGGTCGCCCTCCATTCATCGCTGCCTTCGGAAAGATCCCAAGGGTAGGACTTGATTTCATCAACGACCCAAGAGCTTTGATCGCAGGTTCTTCGAGGTCTGAAGCACAGCAACAGGCCGCAATGATGAGATGTGAGGCCTACAAGGCCCTAGCCGAAGCATCGGCCTCCTCCACCCTCAGACGTGCGCTGCTGAGGAAGACCAATCAGCAGCCTGCTGAACCACCAGAACCTGGGTCGCTCTTGGCCTATTGGAGATGGACGGTTAGAAGCCACAGGAAACGAGGTGGCTACCGTATCGCAAGATACTTGGGCAAAGATCCAGACAACAGCAGTTACTGGATTCAGTCCGGGAGCCAGACCATCAAAGTGGCGCCAAATCAAGTGCGCAATGTTTTTGGGTATGAGGAATATGTCCCAACCTGTGAAGATGTCAAAGCACTCAAAGCTGCAGAAGACAACATCCGCAGCGACCTTTGGCAGGACCATCGACTACCTCCAGAGGCAGAGCCACCATTGCCCGATGAGGAGCCAGAGATCCCGCCAGAAGATGCAGCAGCCTTTGAATTGGCTGATGGAGATTTTCCGTCAGTGGATGCACCGCTGACAACACCTGAGGTTCATGAACCACCGCCGCATGAACCCCTTGTTTTGCCGCTGCCCAAGAAGAGACCAGCAGTCGCAGAAGAACCAGATCCATCGGATCATCCAGGACAGCCTTTGGAACCACAGACACCACAGACTGTCATACACATGCATCAGAACATTACCCAAAATGTTTTTGGCAGAAAGGCTGACAGCACCTCATTGGTTCCTGTTCCAGCCCCATTCACGCCAAGCAGACGTGTTCGACCAGCCAGGTCACGGACAACCACATCAGTTCGAAGAGCTGAAAGGACGGCCACGCTGACCGATCCTTACATGCCACCTGAGGCACTGGCGATCCAAGATCAAAGAGAGTCTTTTGACCCTTCGCAACCTTCAGCACCACATCCAGGTGATGGTGAGAGCGCGCCTAACAATGCGGCTGGGTGGCTCACACCGCATGGCCTTGATCCATCACCGCCTCAAGCGCTACCAGACCAGCCATCGACCTCACAGGTGATGATGATGATGGACAGCCAGACTTGTCCAGAATAGTCCCAACGACACCAGAGCCTCGACTCTACCTCTACAGGCTCGAGACGTCCTCATGGATGCGCAACGGCGTTGCAGACGAGCCCTTGCCTCAGCTTCCGGCCAAGCGGCCATTCGATGCTTTAAGGCAGACGTCTCTGCCCGGATGAACGCTCCAGGTAGCTTCGAGCTCTATGGCTACCAGAGCGACTTTGCAAGACCTTTTCAGAATTTAGAATGCTTGGGCACGGCTCGACCTTTGTGTTTCACAACCTCAACTCCCAATGTCATCAGGGCCACCGATGAGCTATGTGAAATGGCGTCGCACCATTGATGCAAACGCCAATGAACTGATCTTTGAAGGTGTCATCGACCCTGATGAAGAAGAAGAGAACAAGCTCCATTTTGGAGAACCAAGAAACATCATCACTGAGTTTTGGTTTACTCCACCACCTGAGGCAAACCACTACTACTACGGCTATGACGAGACCATTCGTGAAATTGAGCCAGGATGGGACGGTTCAGATGAAAATTACCTGCCTCCCACCAAGCGCTACTACCAGGTCTACGTCGAGCAACTTGCCTCCAGTGTTGATGACCTGCTGAGCCGCCTGTCAGATTCAGACACCGATGTTGATGACTACAAGACTGGCAAAAGGCTCACAAGGCAGGAGAAGAAGCAGATTGAAAAAGAGTTGAGTTTTCACGACATTTTGTCGCAATCAGAAGAGTACATTCAGAAGTTCATTGAATCGGCACAGAAAGAGGAAACCAGCTTTCTGGAGTGGAAGTCATTGAAACCAGTTCCTCCAGAAGAGACGAAACGCATCCTCTCCGACCCCGAGCAGAAGAAGAGAGTCATTTCTTCAAGGGCTTGTTACAGGGACAAAAACAAAAATGTCCCACCACTCAAAGCCAAAACCAGAATTGTAGCAAGGGGCAATCAAGATCCTGACTTGAAGAGCCTAGCACGGCAAGCACCAACGCCAACCCGTGTCAGTGAGATGATGACCTTCCTCATCTTCCTTTCAGGATTGCGCTCCAAGGCCTTCCGGAGTGACAAGGTTTGGAAGTTGTGGGCTGGGGACGCATCCACGGCGTTCTTGCAAGGACAGCAGGACTTGAGCGAGAGGGCAGGCAAGCTTTACCTCAAAGCACCACGAGATCCCTTGCTGATCAGAGCTGGTGTTTTCAAAAGCGAGCTGTATGAGATTCTGGGAAATGTGTACGGCCTCAGCAACGCACCGTACACTTGGGCACAGGAAGTGACCAAGAGGTTGGTCAATCTGGGATTCGTCGTTCACAGTTTTGATCGTATGATGTTTTGGTATCCTGACCCAGACAATGCACCATGCCCAGCTGCAGTTCTCATTTGCTACGTTGATGATTTCCTCATCACCTTCAACACCTCCTTCCCATTCCAACAGTTTGTTGACTCCTTCAAGTGGGGCTCGCAACAGTTTTTGGAGCAAGGTTCACCGTTGGTTTTCAAGCGCAAAGAAATTCACCTGGAACAGACTGGCGACGTCCAGACCCTCAGGATTGTCCAAGAGACCTTCATCACCAACCTTGAGATGGGACAGGTTGGAAAGAAGCAGAATAAGGCCGAAGTTCTTGCCAGCCATGTTTGGCCGGAATTCAGGTCCATCAGCGGTTGCCTACAGTGGCTGTCAGGCCAGACACGTTTGGATATTTCATCAGCTGGCTGTTTCATTGTCCAATCGAGGACAGGAGACGACCTACGCTGACCTTGACTGTTTGTACAAGACGCTGCAACATGTTAAGGATACATCCAAGCTTGGCATCCGACTGTATCCAGTGCCGATCGATGAGAGCACGGTCGTGATGGCGTACTCCGACGCCAGTTGGGCAAACGCTCAGGGGAGCGCAAGTCAGCATGGACAGATCATCATGCTGGCACCAGCGACTGTGACAGAGAAGCCATGCTATGGTGGGCTCATTGACTGGAAGAGCTCTCGCAGCAAGCGGGTATGCAGATCGACATTGGCCGCAGAGGCCGTATCGGCCGACAGTGCTGCAGATCGCTTGGCATACGTCCAGTATGCGCTGGGAGAGTTGGTCTTTGGAGTTGCTGCCCACCGAGTGGGCCCTCGCCTTCGAGCTTTGTTGGCAACTGACTGCAAGTCGCTGTATGACAGCGTTTCAAGTCCGAACCCGACAGTTGAAGACAAACGCAGTCTGGTCAACATCCGCTCCATCCAGGAGGTGGTAAGCCGCAACACCATCCACTGGATTCCGACGGCTTTGCAGATGGCCGATTCGTTGACAAAGGTGTCAGCCGACCTTCGCGACACCCTGTTGACCTGGCTTCAAAAGCCAGTCATCCACCTTCGTGAATGTGGGTCAAAAGAAAACATTCCCAGTGTGAAAGTTCAATGGCATGAGCATTAGCTGCTGTTGACCCTCATTCCCGTTGGTCGTAGGGCCCGAGCCAAGCATCCGCTTTTAGCATAAAAGGTGCGCCATGACCGCGTTTGGTTCCACCACACCTTTGTAGTGCCCTTCATCCCATTGCACGAGGGGCCACTAGAGTTAGATGGTGAACAGAATTCCAAATGTCTATGTCCTATGTTACCTTGTTTTTGGGAGCTGCATGTTACGCTTGCGAAGGCGCAAGCAGCATACCCAAGTTGGATGGCCAAATGTGTCTCACACGATGAACAGTTCTGTGCGTCCTGTTCAGCCCCAGGCTGATCGCTATGTGGAAGTCGGTGGCATGCCAGCCCGCGCTGCTGAAGGACTTAGAGTTCCTGTTGCTCGGCTGCAAGCTCTTCATTTCTTTGTTGAGGTTTAGGGGCTCCGTGAGACGCGAAGGATTCCAACGAGTCCCCAAACAATATCTCAACTTGATTCTTTGACACTCTTGTATGACAGACAGTCCTTGTCATTGTCTTCAGGTCCTGGACGCCAACATTGCCCTGGATTGCTTGAAGGCTTTGAGGGTTACGTCGGTTACGTGTGTCAAATCCGTTCCCGTCCTCTCACAGAAACCAGGATGTGAAACTGCAGTGAAAGCAGCGGTAAAATGACGATGGTACGCTGTACATCGCTGTACTTGTTTGATGGTGATCGGAGACTGTTTGTGCTAACAGGCAATGGGACGGTTGCACACGCAGAAAGTTGCCGACCAGGGAAGTGCCAGCCTCACTGATGGAGTTCCTTGGTGAAATCTGCAAGAATGCCAATTTCATCATCCTTTTCCTAAGGGGCTTTTCTTCTGATTTCAACAAAGCCAACTCATTGATTTGGAAGTTCCAACACCTGTCTTGCCGGCCGGGGGCAACCAAGAGAAGCAGGTATGATGACTGAAGCTGAGACATAGCACCGAGGACATCGAGGTGTTGCAGCTTTTGCTGTTGATCGTGGCCATGGCAGCTACGAAGAAGCGACAATTGACTGAAGACGTGCGCAATTTGCAGATCGTTCCGACAGATGGTGGCAAGCTGGTGTGTTTGACCGCTGAAGAGGCCGACGCCCTCGGAACGGGTCATCCCGGCTCGAAGGTAGTGCGGAGGGGTGGAAGGCAATGCTGAACATCCGATGGTATGGTGCTGTGGGTTCCAAAAGCTTGGCACAGTCGACCCAAACCGACACACGATATAATTGTTATATAATTGTATATGAGCGTCGTTCAAAAATTAACCTCTTTTTTAGTAAACGAATTTCAGAGGCTGATTTTGAGTGTGCTCTCACTGCAGTCGCGAAAGGTTCGCGAAGGTCCCGCGAAAGGTCTGCGGAAGCCAAGTTGGTGACCTGGGCACCCTGCAATTCGGCTTCCTTTTTCCCGCCTCGGGAAAAAGCAAATTGGAAGTCTGAACCATTTTGCTTTTTCCCGGCCCGGGAAAAAGCAATTTGGCTCACACATCCAAATTGCTTTTTCCCAAGCCTGAAATTATCCCGGCAAGAGACCCCAAACAGTGTGTGTGAGGTCTGTGAGCAGAAAGTCTAGAGGTCTAGACGCACTGGGGTCCAGAGAGGTGATGGTGGTGATGAAGTGAAGGTGGGTGTGAGTGAGTGTGGGTGAGAGGGAGTGTGAGTGTGGGAGAGAGAGTGTAGTGCGAGTGTGGGTGTGAGAGTGAGTGTGGGTGAGAGTGAGAAGGTGGGTGAGAGTGAGTGTGGGTGAGATTGAGAATGAGTGTGAGTGAGAGTGGGAGGGTGAGTGTGGGTGCGAGTGTGAGTGAGAGTGAGTGTGGGTGAGAGGAAGTGTGCGTGAGAGTGAGAGTGTGGGGGAGTGTGAGTGTGAGTGTGAGGGGTGTGAGTGTGAGGAGTGTGAGTGCGAGTGAGAGTGGAGAGTGAGAGTGAGTGTGGGTGAGGGTGAGAGTGTGAGGGGGCGCGAGTGTGAGTGTGAGTGAAAGTGGGAGAGTGAGAGGTGAGCATCTGAGAACACAAAGTACTGCGCCTGCCACGAAATCTGCACTTCGAGGTTCGTGCTGCACCTGCCACGAAATCTGCGCACCGAGGGTCTCAGAGTGGTGTGCCTGCTACGAAATCTGCACTTCGAGGTTCACCAAGCGCTGCACCTGCCACGAAATCTGCACTTCGAGGTTCACCAAGCGCTGCACCTGCCACGAAATCGGCACTTCGAGAGGTTCATCTGCGCCTGCCACGATGTCACCAAGTCTGCATCACCACGTGCTGCACCTGCCACGAAATCTGCGCACCGAGGGTCTCAGAGTGCTGTGCCTGCTACGAAATCTGCACTTCGAGGTTCACCAAACGCTGCACCTGCCACGAAATCTGCACTTCGAGGTTCACCATGTGCTGCACCTGCCACGAAATCGGCACTTCGAGAGGTTCACCTGCGCCTGCCACGATGTCACGAAGTCTGCATCACCAAGTGCTGCGCCTGTCACGAAATCTGCGCTTCGAGGTTCACCAAGTGCTGCGCCTGCCACCAAATCTGCACTTTGTGGTTCACAAAGTGCTGTACTTGTCACCAAATCTGCACGTCGAGGTTTACAAAGGGCTGCACTTGCCACGAAATCGGCACTTCCAGGTGCACCAAGTGCTGCGCCTGCCACAAAATCTGCAAACGAGCTGCATGTCCAAAAGTCACGACTCATTGCACCTGTCACGAAATCTGAGCTCCTCGACGATCACCACCATGTCCAAAGTGTTGCACCTGCCACGAAAACTGCACTTCGAAGTAAAACAGCCTGTCGCGAAAAGTGACTTTGGAGCACCAAACACGAGGTTTCCCTTGCGCCTGCCACGAAAAGTGACCGCCGCGTACCAAAATGCGCACGGCACCACAACGAGAGCGCAGTCGCGACAAGCGCACGCTCCAGCCACCCAGATTCTGCGAGCATGGGCAGTCGAAAGGCATGAATGCGCGGTAAATAGCAGCGAATTGGCCGGACACGCCGGCGACGCACAGCGATCTAAGCACCTTCCTTTCCCTTACCGTAAGAACCCCTCAGTGTGCCCACGCTGTTTGGGGAAAAAGGCAATTTCTCAGACTTGCACACTAAAATCAAGGAGCTGTGGCCTAATGAATGAGACGTCAGGCTCATAAGCTTAAGGTTGTGGGCTCGAGCCTCCCCTGCTCTAACTTGTTTCTCCCAGGCTGGAGACAGCAATTGGAAATCTGAACCATTTTGTCCCCAACTCAAAGTTGAGGGTCCAGATAGGTACCCTTCTCCAGGTCACCCTTGTTTACAGGAGAACCAAAATCACATTGAATTACATTTGAATCATCTTATTCTTATTTGAATCTTATAAAATCTTATTTGTGCACTTTTTTGCTTTGAAGGTGCAAGAAAGTGATTTAACATGCTTTGAAAATGCAAAAAGTATATTTGTCACTTTTGTTTCTGAACGTGATGTTCATTAAAAAGCTGACAGGTCATGCTTGAATTTACTGTGTTTGAAAGTCAGCATTTCATTGTCATCCTCATTTTGTTATGGGTGTTTTTTAGGAAAAGGAAGAGGAACAGGAACTGTAAAAAATAAATATAAAAGGAAAAGGCCGAGAAAGAGGAACAGAAAACAAAAAAATGGTTTGATTTGTTTTGTTGATTTTCTATTCTACTGAATTTCTATGTTTTTACAAAAATTTGTAACCTGATCAAATCTGATCAAACCTAATCAAATTTGATCAAATCTGATCAAATTTGATCAAACCTGATCAAAACCATGGTCTTGATCAAATTTGATCAAATTTGAGCACATTTGATGGGATTGCAGTTTTTGTAAAACCTTAATTCAGGAACTTAAAAAGTTTTGTTACAGTTTTAGTCATTAGATTGTGTTTCCCCAACTCTCCTCGCCAAAAGTTTTTGTCCACAGTTCTTTATAAGCATTAAATTTTGTTTCCTTTTTCACCCAATAATTGTCCACAGTTTTAGTCATGACTTTTTTTCCTTAACTCACCTCACCAAGTTTTATTGTCCACAGCTTTAGTCACTCGAAGTTGCTTCCTTAATTTCCCTGGAAAGGGAAAGCAAGAGGAAAAGGAAGACGAAAAGAAAAAGGAAGAGGAACAGGAAAAGGACAAGGAAAAGCAAGAGACGGAGGCAAAGGAAAAGGAAAAGGAAGAGGAAACGGAAAAAAAACGGAAAATGAAAAGGAAAGAAAAGAGGAAAAGCAAGAGGAAGAGAAAAGGAAACAGGAGAAAAATAAAAGAAAGAGGAAAATGAAGGGCACAAGGAAAAGGAAGAGGAAAACAAGACACATATGTTTTGGGTGAAGGACAGTAAGGAAACAAAATCTAATGACTAAACCTGTGGACAAAAAATTTGGTGAGGAGAGTTGAGGAAACACAATCTAATGACTAAAGCTGTGGACAAAAAATCTGGTGAGGAGAGTTGAGGAAACAAAATCTAATGACTAAAACTGTGGCCACTTTTTTGGTGTGAAGGAAAGTAAGGAAACACAATCTAATAACTAAAGCTGTGGACAAAATTGTTTGGTGAGGAGAGTTGAGGAAACAAAATCTAATTACTAAAACTGTGGGCAAATTCCTTTGGGTGAGAGAAAGGAAACAAAATCTAATGACTAGAACTGTGGACACTCTTTTTGGGGTGAGGGAAATGAAGGAAACAATTTCAAATGACTAAAGCTTTGGACAATAAAACTTGGTGAGGGAAGTTAAGGAAATAAAACTTAATGTCTAAAACTGTGGACAGAACAATTTTGGTGAGGAGAGTTGAGGAAACACAACCTAATGACTAAAGCTGTGGGCAAAAAAATTGGTGAGGAGAGTTGAGGAAACACAATCTAATGACTAAAACTGTGGACAAAACTGTTTGGTGGGGAGAGTTGGGGAAGCAACACCTAATTACTCAAACTGTGGGCAAATTGTTTTGGGGTGAGAGAAAGGAAACAAAACCTAATGACTAGAACTGTGGACAATCTTTTTGGGGCGAGGGAATACTGAATGAATACTGTTGAATACTAGTTGAATACTCGTGCACCTTTTTTTTGTCCCGAGCTGGAGTTGCACGTTTTTGCACTTTTTTCACTTTTGTGCACTTTTTTGCATTTTTTCACTTTTGTGCACTTTATGTGAATTTGCAAATGTCAGCTTTGCGCACGTTTTTTCACTTTTTTTGCACTTCAGTGCACTTCTGTGTCACTTGTGTGCATTTCAGTGCACTTCAAATCTTATTGGTGATTAAATTTGAGGGCACCTCAGCTTTGTGCACTTTTGTGTCAAAAAAGTGCAAAGAGAAGATATAAACTGATTTCAAACTGACTTGAGCTGATTTCAATCTGATTTTCAACTAAAAAACACCTCGGTGCACCATCGTGACACCAAGACAGCCCTGCTGTGGGTGGCCCAGTTGTGCCTCTGGTCTCAAGATTCCAGCCTTTAAAAATGTTTTCTCCGCGCTCCGCGCGGAAGAGGAATAGTAATGGTCAAAGTATGAACCAAAGGCTATTCCAATCAATAATAGTGGAAGCTTTTGAATTGATATCGATTTGATTTGACATATTGATTTTTCAATAACCTCAAAAAAAGTGAATATTCAAAAATATTTTGATTTTTGCAATTGATTTCCTACTTGAAAGAAAGGAAGAGGAAAAGGCAAAAGGAAAAGGAAGATGAAAAGGAAGAGGAAAAGGAAAAGGAACAGGAAAAGGAAAAGGAAGGAAAAGGACGAGGAAGAGGAAAAGGACAAAAGAAAAGGAAAAGGAAACAGGCGCGCTTTGCGCGCAAGAGTACTGCCACGATGGTTTTTGATTTGAACAATGAACAGTGTGCCTTGGTTTGGTGTCTGAGTATGAGTGCTGTTGGCAAAGTGCAGTTGTTTGATGATGATGACTCTGAAAGCTGCATTTCTAGAAACTTCCTGTGATTCCGATATGTCATCATCACATTGGGGCACTGAGTCGGAATCTGGCATTGAAAGAGCCTGGCGTCAATTATGTGATCTTCAAAGTATTGATAGACAAGCCTATCGCATATTCATTGAAGCATTGAACCAGAGTCGAAGCTGCAGGGCACTGTGCCAAACTCTTCATCTGGATGTCGAATTAGCAGACTTGTTTCTATGACGGAGTTGGGCACAAGTTCCATGTCACAGGTGAATGAAAGCATGTGGAGGACGGATTGAAAGTTTGCTACGTTACATGGTGCCCGGGTGCCCAAAATGTGTCAGCCAAAGTGATATGTATTACAACTTGTCACCACTCGACTGTAATACTTTGCTCTATGAATTATGAATCAGGTTCTTCACATGGTGCCCGCCAAAAGTTGTTGGGCAAGTTTGTGTATTTACTTGTGAGCGATCGCTTTGAACATGGCTTTTTGTTAAAAACGGTGTTTGCGGCCTGCGACATTCTTTGATATTTTCAGGCATGTTTGGGACTCAGGCTTGCAGCACAGTAAACTGAATAGCAGTGCACTTCGTACGCGCCAGCCAGGTGATTCATCATGAAGATCAACAATGGATGACCATGACTTGTTTGATGAGGTTGATGCTAATTGAGCTGAATGTCTTGTCACGTATTGTTCAATTTTAACCTAGACCAAAATGGAGCCCTACTGCATTTTTGACTGAGTTTGATGTTGGTTGCAAGGGTTGGAACCCCTGCCAGTACAGTGCTCTTCAGCCAAACGCTGACTAGTTTCAAAAAACTTACTTGTTACGATTCCAGCACTTTTCAGCAAAACTTGACTAGATTCAATAATCTTACAGGAACAATCCCTGCCAGCGCAGCCAAAACTTGACTACTTTCAAAAAGAATACTCACTGCCTTCAGCCAAAACTTGACTAGTTTCAAAAACCTTACTTTTCACAATCCCTGCCAGCACAGAGCTGAAGACTAGTTTCAGATGCTTTCAACGAGGCCAGGAGCACTGTGCTGTCAGGGATTGTAACAAGTAAAGCAACTTGTTACAACCCCTGACAGCACAGTGCTCCTGGCCTCGTTGATTATCGTAAAGGAACCGTTTGTACTTAGTGCTTCTATCATTGTGTTTTGTAAGTTGGCTTGTCGCTCGACTCGTCAACTTATCGTAAAAGGAAATGTTGAACTTTGATTTTGTTTGCAAGTTCGCTGCAACTTCACTCGTGGCTTCACTCGTGGACTTACTCGTGAAAACACTTTTGGTTCACTCATACTTTTACCCGTTGGTGAATTTTGTTCAAAATCATGTCTAATCACCTTTGAATCATTTTGACTCTTATTTGAGAAGTTCATAATCATTGTAAATCTTATTTGTGACAATATTATGCTTAAAACATGATTCACTATGATCAAAACAATTTCAAAAATGCAAAAATGACTAGCCAGAGTGCCCCGGAAGGGTGCCCATCTCGACGTTCAACATTGATTTGGTGATTTTGCTTCTTCCCGGCCCGCGACAAAGCAAATTGGAAGTCTCAACCATTTTGCTCTTTCCCGGCCCGGGAAAAACAAATTGGAAGTCTGAACCATTTTGTTTTTTTTTCCCGGCCCGGGAAAAAGCAAATTGGAAGTCTGAACAATTTTGCTTTTTCTGGGCCCGGGAAAAAGCAAATTTGAAGTCTGAACCAAATTGCTTTTTCCCGGGCCGGGAAAAAGCAAATTGTAAGTCTGAACCATTTTGTTTTTTCTCGGCCCGGGAAAAAGCAAATTAGAAGTCTGAACCATTTTGCTTGTTCCCGGCCCGGGAATAAGCAAATTGGAAGTCTGAACCCTTTTGCTTTTTCCCGGCCCGTGAAAACACCAATTGGAAGTCTGAACCATGGCCGGGAAAAATCAAATTCGAAGCCTGAACCAAAGTGCTTTTTCCCGGCCCGGGAAAAAACAAATTGGAAGTCTGAGCCTGAGCCTTTTGCTTTTTCCCGGCCCGGGAAAAGCAAATTGGAAGTCTGCAATTTGGAAGTCTGAACATGAGGCACTCGTCATCACCTTATTGTAGGTGGAACGTGATCTCATAGTTCAAGTCATCGAGTGGGCAATCTACATCATGGAAAGACCCCTCCAAGAGTAAACTCTTGCATGAACAGTTTTGCCTGTTATTCGTTTATTATAATATATGGTGGTTGTTCAAAAGTCCTTTTTTTTCGACCTTTCGCAGGACCTTCGCGAAGCTTTCGCAAGCTTTCGCGCGTGGGGCTTTACCACTGTCGGCGGAAAAAAAATTTCGTTGGGGCTAGAGACTTTCAAGGATTCATGCTGTTGCCCTAGCAGGTCTTGCGTCCTCTGATCACTGACACATTGGTTGCTGAGGACCAGGAAGCTAGCACTTTCATTTTGGTGTCGTTTTGGTTGGGAGCAACCCTCCATAAACAAGAAACTGCTCAGGCCAGTTTATAAGTTCAGACTTCCAATTTGCTTTTTCCCGAGCCGGGAGAAAGCAAAATGGTTCAGACTTCCAAATTGCTTTTTCCCGGGCCGGGAAAAAACAAAATGGTTCAGACTTCCAATTTGTTTTTTACTGTCTGGCTACAAGCAAGTTGCTTACGCCTGTGGCCATTTGCACAACGCCCGCTTTATTTCTGCAGCCTCCTGCGCAAGGTTTCTTCGACTCCTCACGCGGTTTCCGACAAAGATCCCAGTCATTGGTCGATAACCAAACCGATAACGAAACGATAGCCGTTTGTTGCGCAAAGGCTGCCGTAGTCGTCGCGTCCCCACTTAGGTCACGAACATTGATGCCAAAATTGTCAAGACAGGTCGGCAAAGCAGTCAGTGCATGGGCACTGACAAAAATGTTTGACAATGAAGTTTCATTCTACAAAGGCATGCGTCCCAGTGGCGGCTGCTAGAGAGTGCCCGGTTCCTTTGACAAAACCTGCCTTTTTGCTGCTTCCCAGCTTTCGTAGACATATAACCTTCGCCCGCATGTCAAAATCTGCGAGGGAGGTAAAACGATATAGCGAACTACCAAAGCCGATAACCGCATACATAAGGCCCGTAGTTTGCTTGGAGGTTTTGCCGTTCACTCATCTACTCACTATATTGGCGCGCTGGCTGGTAGAAACAATCCCTTTGCAATAGGGCTACAAGGATTGGATGTGCACCAGGCCAGGGGTTTCAAAGTCTATGACGTGCCGCCTGACATGGTGGGCATTGAAGCCTTGTTGGGCGCTGCTGGGCAGCGCCTCGATCCTCGCTTGTCTCAAAAGGCTCGACCAGAGGCATCTTGACTAAGGATGATTGCAGGGTGCTGGGCAGCTCAAACCTTTGGTGCTGGAAAGTCGTTTTCTTGCCGATGGTTAGGTTCGAGAGTTCCTGGTACAACTGGGAGTTGAACAAGTTGATGGCTCGGCCTTCTTTACGAACGTGCTCCTGCCTGTGCTGACCCAGAGTCCTTTGGCGATTGAAGTTTCGTTTCATATGGTTGTCTTTCAGGTCCTTCAGGGCGCAGAGACACATGCAGTCTAGTTAATCATATTATATATAGTGGGCATATGTGGGGGTTTCATAGATGTGGAGCACCTTAGTATAGAGTTACATTGAGCAGCAGCAGTTCCCGACATCGTTCAATGTGGTTGACATACAGCGCCCATCGTTGAGGCGAAGCGAGTGAAGCAGAGAAACTGATCTTAGCAACAAGGCCGGTCTGGGTGCAGACCACAGCGGTGGCAGCTAAATGCTCCTGGTCAAAGCTGGCAAGCATCGCCGGTTTCATTTGTGACTCGTGCGTCAGGCAGTTCAAAGATTTGCTTGGCATTTGCGACCAAGACAGGAAGGACAATGATGGCATTGCGTGGCATTGCCATTGTCTTCAATATGTTAGTTGCAATTATTACTGCAGTTGTGGACCGACGATCTGTGCAAAATTGATCAAATTGTTGGAGTCGGCTTGCATATGTCCAAGACAAAAATTCTGCAATAATAGTGGTTGGATGGTTGGATTTTTCCAGCCTGCAGCCGCGCAGGACTCCCTCATTGAAACGCTGAGTGCGAGTGACGCAGGATGGTGGGTGACCTGACTGTGATTTTGGGTCAGCGTGAGACATGCGACACGGTGACTGACCTCAAACTGCTTTGTTCAAGCTTTGCAACTTCCCACTGATCATGTTCTGAAAGCAGAACGGGTGCCCTTAGGTTTTGGCTTCCTCTGGCACATCCGAGTGCAAGGCTGTCAAGGCAATTGTGTTTTTGACCAGCCGTGTTTGTCACATTGTTTGCGTCCCATCAGCTGACTCCGATTGGAAGGTGGGTGGAAAAACTCGCGCAGGGCTTCATGTGAGTCCACTTCCTGGCAAACTTGTAGACAAAGTGGTGGGAGTTGCCCTTTGGCTTCATTTAAAGGGGTCAGAGTTCTGTAGTTGAGTGCTGAAACTGGAATATTGCCAGAGAGCTGTCTTTGGCTAGACATGGACAAGTCGCTGAGCTTCTTGTTGGAGCACAGTTTTTGGACTGTTCCTTGTACAGGACTGGTTGGCTCCATCCTCTGCATATTATGGCGAAGAGGCGGCGGAGAGTGAAGAGGCGGATGCCAAGTCTCCCGCAAGCGCTTTCGCGTTGGATCTCGTTGATATCCTTGCGTTTCTCTTTTTGGATGCGTCGAATCCCGCACAACCAGGCGTCATCCTGGGAAGCATTTTGGATGCTTCTTGGAGCTGCTCCGGTGTTTCAAGTGGAAGAGCTCCAAGAAGACTTTCGCAGTGAGGAGCTGGTGAGGCGATTGATCTCGTGAAACAATTAGAAACACGTGCGGTTCACGATGCTTCTCCATGTTTGTGTCAATATGTGCGTATGTTTCCTTCCTTTTCTCTGATCTGCTTGCGTGTCAGGTTGCTAGCTGCCTCAAGCACTCCACATCTTGCAGGGGAGGTGGTGGCACTTCTGGCGCCTCATGGTGAATACTATTCGCAGTTCCTCTGGAAACCTGGAAGAAGCTAGGCTGCAGTTTCAAGACTGGTGTGCAGTTTGCCAGACTTTCTGCAAATCAGTCGCACCAAAGGCCAGAATGAACCATCTGAAATTGCACAGCTCCTTTGCAAGCAACCCTGGCAGCTTGACTCAGCAGAGCTTCAGGCCATGAGCATCATGACCTCACCTAGTCTAGCTTCTCCCTGTCTTAGGCTTCCGACCACAAGAGGAGAAGTTGTACCTATGAATCTTGCTTGGCTTCCGGAGAAGCATGAGGAGGTGGAAGAAAGGTTCAACTTTGATGCCTCTGTCTCTCCATTCGCGCAGGCAGGTGGTCGAACCAAATATGGAACAGACTGCATTGCAGATGTCCTTAGTAGGTCAAGTTGCTTATTTGGCATTTCAAGCAAGAACCCATTTTTTTGTTTCACCAAAGGCTCTTGCAATGACTAGGCGTGGCCCGCTTTGGGTATCGAAACTTCTCCTTCACCATCGACTTTGATTGCCATTGTGGAGCACCTGCGCTCGCAGGACATCCATGTCAGAGTATGGAGCTGTTGCAGACCATTCTGAGTTCCGCGCTGCCTGTTTTTTTGCGAGTTTGTTGAGGAACATCTACTACAACTCACGATTGCAGAGATGGCCTCGCTGTACGGCAGAATGGGTAGACAGGACGTCCTGGCAGAGTGCCGGACATGTCTGGACTTGTTGACAACAGCTGAGCTCAGCCTGACCCGATCTGGTTTTATTCAGCCTGTCGGCTTTGTTATGCTTTATTGTTCGTCTAAGTCTGAATTTTAGTGACGTGCACCAGGACCCTGAAGCAGATCAAGGTGGTGCAACACTTGTGGCGGGAAGTCTTATGGACAAGATCTTTGGACGGAGAAGCCTGGAGTCTCGGACGAACTCTTTCAGGTCAGCCTGCTTCGCCAGTCAGCGCAGCGCCAAATGATCTTGACACATCCCGGACGCGTGTAGCGAAGTCAGCAGTGCTTTTGTGAGGAACGATTTCTTGAAGAGGAGAAATGGGTATTTGTACCGAATCACCCCAGGCGGGGTTGCTGCGCTAACTTCAGTGGCCCTGCATGTTTGTAGTTTGGCCCGCGTTCCGCATTCCTTTTAATCTAAGTGTGAGTGTTCTCAGAACATCCACGAAGACAGTACTGATGCAAGACTGGTGGCAAGACATCAAAACATATCAAAACCGTTCAAGACGGTTGATTGCTTTGTGAACCATCCAGACCACCAGGGCAAGAAGCTGGAGTTTGGGTACCTTGCCAGGCCCCACAGCGATTTCAAACAATGGTTCAACAAGTGCCCGAAGATGCAACACAGCGGGAGTTTCTATGACGTCAAGCAGCTTCTCGGCTGTCAGAAAAGAAGCCAAAAATCATCCAATCAATACAAGTAGCAGTGAGTCTCGCATTTAGCTCTCCATATACTGTAGTAACTCAAGAAGTCCACGTCATTTTTGGACTTCTTGGTGTTCAATAAGCTTCAGTCTTGCTATGCTAAATATGTTAGAGTATGTCTCGAGTCGCGTGACTGAGCCTGTGATGCTCTAGGGTCAGCTATCAAAAAATTAACGAGTCAACAATCACTTTAAGTCGAAAAATGCTCACCATGGTGGTTCAAGGTATATCCACCATGCAAGAGCAATATTTTTGTTTGCAATATTGTAAGCCAGTCTGTCTCATTGCCCGCGGCTTCCACATGGCAGATCACTTGAATCAGTACTCAGAGGTGGCCAGCAGTAACGATGGAAAAGACACGTACCAAAACATGTCAGAGTACCACCTGAATCACTCATCAAATGTGGCGAGCAGTGACAATGATGGAGACACACATGCCAAAATAACATGTCAGTGTACCACCTGAAGTACCACCTGAATCAGTCACCAAATGCGGCAATCAGTAATGGAAACAAACATGCCAGGGTACCGCCTGAATTAGTGAACAAATGTGGCAAGTAGCTCTCTTGGAAACAAACATGTCAAAACATGTTGGGATACCACTGAAGGCGTCAGAAAACATCTGGGGCTCAAACAGACTCACAAACAAACACACCCAAACATGCCAATGCCACCAGACCGACGTGGACAAAACCGGTAAGGCCCCATTTGCTCCATCATTTGACGGTCGATCAAACAAGGCCAGAGCAGTAGCCCCTGGAGCTTGGCACAGCAATGCCAAACGCAACACTTTCCACGTGTTCTAAATCTTCTAGTCCTGGACGTCGACCCACAACATGAAACAGTACTTCCAGCACATAGCAGCACCGGTCTGCGCGATGCACCAGGCTTGTATCTCTCTCAAAGCTCGCCCGAAACAAAACTCAACCAGTCTTCACACCATTCTGGCATGGTCATAGCCACACCGACCCGGACAGAACCTGTGAGGGTAGACTATGTGGTTTACATTGGTTTTGAATAGTCATAGCTAATTGAGCCTCATTCCCAAAAATTGTATGACATGCATTCCCTATTGCTGCATGTTACTCGCTGCAAAGAGCCAGAGACAAAGGCATAAGTGCGACGCAGACATTCAGTCAATGTCCATCAAAACTGCTCTGGCATCCCGCTTCTGAATGTTTTCACCCCTCTTTTCTGTTGTTGCGGCGCTGTACTATCTAACATCACCCCTCAATGGCAGCTGGTCGAACATGTAGCGTGCGGACTCAGAACACGGTGACGCCACCAGACCGACGCGGGCACAACCGTCGAGGTCCCAAGGTAATGCCAGCGCATGCTGAAATGCCACGGTGGGGGCTTATTGGCACTGTGTACTGATCACTGTAGCTGCAATGCATCGTAGGCAGGCCAGGACCGGAGTCGCTCCGAAGTCGAAGCAGCTTTGGCTTCTAACTTGTGAGTAAGTTGTCGCAGATACGCAGGAGGGTCATGCTGACCCATGGACGGGAGCTGCAGAATCTCATCTCGTTGGGACTCACGGAGCAAGTAGAAGATCTTTTGCGCAGGGACATCAATGGCGAGCCACCAGTCAGAATCCTCTAGCCCGCCTGCACGGCGTAAATCAACTACGACACTTCCATCAAGAGTCATGGCCTGGCGCACTGTAGGCAGTGCGCAACATGCCATGCAAAAGAGGAAACTGGCAGAGAATCGATTTTCTCCGTCAAAAAGCAGAACCATATTGTGACATTCGACTGTTTGACATGAATTCTGATCTGTTTGGATGCCAGAGGCCGCGATCTGGCGCTTGCTGTTGATGTCCGGCAGTGCCCACTGCTATCTGGCCCTTGCTGCTGAGGTGCGGCAGTGCCCACCGCGATCTGGCGCTTGCTGTTGAGGTGCGGTAGTGCCCACTGCGATCTGGCGCTTTCTGTTGAGGTCCGGCAGTGCCCACTAGGATCCTGCACGCGCAGTTGAGGTTGCGATCTGATGCTGGCAGTTGAGGTGCAGTAGTCGTATAAGTAGCAGTAGCAGCAGTAGTAGTAGTAGCAGTAGTAGTAGTAGCAGTAGTAGTAGTAGTGGTAGTGGTAGTAGTAGTAGTGGTAGTAGCGGTAGTAGCGGTAGTAGTGGTAGTAGTAGTAGTAGTAGCAGAAGTAGTAGTAGTAGTAGTAGGTAGTAGTAGGTAGTCAAAGGAAGTTTAGTGCACGAAACTTCCGTGTTACAGACATTCAAGAACTGTTCATACACCACTAGTCATACACCACTCATCATACACCACTCATCATACACCACTCATCATACACCACTCATCATACACCAGTCATCATACGCCAGTCATCATACACCACTCATCATACACCCCTCATCATACACCGCTCATCATACACCGCTCATCATACACCACTCATCATCCAGTTAGCTCTAGTTTCAAGAGCTCTAGCTCCAGTTAGCTCTAGTTTCAAGAGCTCTAGCTCCAGTTAGCTCTAGTTTCAAGAGCTCTAGCTCCAGGTAGCTCTAGTTTCAATAGCTCTAGCTCCAGTTAGCTCTGGTCTCAATAGCTCTAGCTCCAGTCAGCTCTAGTTTCAATAGCTCTGGCTCCAGTTAGCTCTAGTTTCAATAGCTCTAGCTCCAGTTAGCTCCAGTTTCAACAGCTCTAGCTCCAGTTTACGTGGCAGGCACAGCACTTTGTGAACCTCCATGTGCAGATTTCGTGGCAGGCGCATAGGCGCATGTGCAGATTGCGTGGCAGGCGCAGCACTTTGTGAACCTCCATGCGCAGATTGCGTGGCAGGCGCAGTACTTTGTGAACCTCCATGTGCAGATTTCGTGGCAGGCACAGCACTTTGTGAACCTCGAGGTGCAGATTTCGTGGCAGGCACAGCACTTTGTGAACCTCCATGTGCAGATTTCGCGGCAGGCGCAATGCAAAATGCGTTTTCGAGAGATACCCCAAGGCTCCGCTTAGTCTATCTGAGAATAGGATATGTCTTATCCACTGTCTTATCCTATCATCAAGATAGTCTCGAGGCGATCATCAAAATAGACTATCCCAAAATAGTCTTTTTATGGTCTATTTTGAACTATTAAACTTTGATGAAAAACAAAAATCTATGCGCTCAGAAAGCAGAAACACATCTTTTCCTGGAGCGCGGTGCGCAGCGGAAGCGTGCAAAAGTTCAATTATCGCACACGAATTTGCAGGCAAATTTGCTAACATTCAGTCAGAGCCAGAAGTGCTTGGGCAACCAACTCGCTTCCTTAAGCAGCGGACTAGGCGTTTTGCAAGAAAGTTTGCTTGCCGCCACTTGGACTGCCGCAAATATCGAACGTGTTTCTCGAGCTTGTGGAGCGGCAGCCTCATGGCCAACATTCTTTGCAGCCGCATTGGAGAGATTTTCTTCTGCTTTGCCTTCATGCATGGGAAAGGTTGCGGCATCATCATGTAAAAGGTTCTAGGCAACTGCACGTCGGGCCAAAAAATCCTTCAGAAAGGACCGATAGACGATGGAAGGTAAAGAAGTGAAACAGAAATCAAACTCAGACTCATGGTTCGCGATCAAGGTTCAGCGAAATGGAGCTTCTTTTTCGCGTCGAATTTGTCTATACTGCTCGTGCGCCGAATTATCTCCCAGAAAAGAAAGAAAACTTTCTCAGAAAGGGCTCTCACCTGGCATCATTCTTGGCTTTGCGCTGACGTTGCAAGGCATCCTCAAACATGGCGTTTCAAAGCCACAGGTATACCTGTCGCAAATGCCTCTTTCATGGACAGTCGACTCGTCGTCTTCATCGGCCAAATGAACACCTCTTAGAAGCAGCTCTTGGCGGATCTTCCTTGCCAGCACATGCGCCTTGCGTTTGTGCGGCGGGGCGTGGTTTCTGCCCGTTGGAGCAGATGCTGAGCAAAGCAAAAAGCACACCCTCGACAAGGCTGAAAGCTTCTATGTGCTTACTGGGCGCTGTCTTCCATGTCATTGCCTCCATCTTCTGCGACAGTACTGGCAAGTTTCGATGCCCTATTTGCGCAAAGCCGTGATGCAAGGCTTCTTGCAAAAGAGCAACTGTGAGGTGTGGCAAGGCTTTGAGCCTCTCCGCGCTGGTCTCCATGGCTGCGCGACCAACATAAACCGCCAGCGTTGTTGGAAAGTTTCATCAAACTTTGATAAAACTTTGATTGTCTAAAATTGTACAAGTTTATTGTTTTGAAAAATTTCACTAAATTTTGGTTGTAGAATTTATATTTTTTGACCTTCTCAACAAACAGAAGTGATACAAAACTT